CATAGGCCTACATTTTGTTTTTTTTTTTTTTTTTTTTTTTAAATCTGTCCAAAAATAATACACAGCCTAACAAAAAGTAAATAAATAATTAAATTTTCAGATAGACAGACAATTTTTGTTTTGGCAATGTACTCCAATTGTAAAGCTGAATTGAACTGTATTACTGCAGTCCTAACATTCTTACGCATTTCGTGTATTAATTTACACTCGAAATATCAAAAGGATGCGTCAATTGAAGGACATAAACAGTCCTAAGCACCTCATCATTGAGAACAAAACGATTCTTTAATTGTTTTGTTATTCCTAATTGTTTTACTGTTTACATTTTTCTTAAGCTCTTCATTGTAACTTATCTCAGTGTGACAACATGCCCTGCTAATCTTCCATTCTAACCCCTTTTTTTTTTTTTTCTCCATTGGTTCAAAATGTATTTTCTAGTCAAAACTGAAAGGCATCTAATCAGGGCAGTAAATTGCCACCTTTTACTAATAAAATGTTATTTTGACGCCCTAATTTAATAGACAAGAACAAATATACAAACATCCATGAATGAGTCTGGATATGAATAATTATCCAGGATTTTAAATAACTTTGAACCTAACCTATTTGAATATTACTTTTATTACAGACGCCAACATCAAGAGCAGAGAAGGATAATGGGAGGTTTGTTAAAACATCACCTAGATTGACACATTTTTGCAAATTTTTTGCTATAATTCCATAAACACATTATAGATCATTAGCAAAGATTACATTTTTTTTGTACGGTTTATTAATTGGCAGCTTAAAATAAGCCATTTTTAACATTACAGAACTGCTTTACAACAGAATCGGAATTTTCCTATTTATGTCTGTGAAGCTGCTTTAACATAATCTGTATTGCTTAAAGTGTTATAGGAATAAAGGTGACTTGACTAAAATCTAGTGCATCTTCTTCCAATAGCCAATGTGTCACGTACGATTGTCGGAGCGATGGCAGGGGCGGTGACTGGAGGCTGTCTTGCCATTGTAGTACTGGGGGCCTCAGTTGTGATTCTTGCAAGCCCAAAAATGTCACCACTGGCGCAAGCATTCGTAAGCGCTGCACTAAGTAAAGGAATGGAAAAAGTAACAATCCCTGTGGGCGGAGGAGTTACAGGAGGAGCAACAGCAGGGGCAGCAGCGGCACTGGGGCAAGTAGCTGCAGGTGTCGTTCTTGTAGCTCCGGCTGTAGGAGCTTTTGGAGGAGCCATCATTGGATGTGAAGCAGCAGAAGATGCTGATTCAATGTATGATGCAATGAGGAGAGCAAGCGATCAAAACTTTGAGCTGGCAAAACATATAACTGAGAATGTTCACCAATTTAAAGCTGTTGCTTTTAAAACTGACAAAATGCCAAATGTACATAAAAAGAAGTAAATATTTAACATTACATTTATGAAAGTAGATCTGATTTGCTAATTTACTTTTGCTTCAGTGTAATCAAAGTATTTACAGGCATTTATTTTATTTTCCTCTGTCGCTTTTAAGTGATCAACTCAAAATGATTTAACGCTTTGTTTCATACCTTATAGTCTGTCTAATAAAAACATGAAATGTTTCATGATGTATCAATTTTTTGTATATGTAGCGTAGAGACTCCTTCTTAAAATATTCTCACGTATGTCATTCCCAACCTCAACAAAAGTTCAGTCACACAATTTATAATATACAAACTGTTTCAGATTTATTTTCAGAGACCCAATTTCAGATCGGTTTGTTTTTTCAGGACATATTAATGTTCACACTTGAATAGAATAGCTTTTAACTTAGGAGTACTTTATCCTATATATATATATATATTAACATGTTATCTTGATAAATTTTTCTTGTGTAATTTTGTGTAGGTCTGGTTAAATGTTTCAATAAGATCTTAGTCTAATCTGACTGTTTGGCATGATCAGGGCTGTGCAGAGACCTTTGGAGGGGCAGGTGCTCAAATTATAAAAGGGGCACATAGAACACGGCTTTTAATAGGGCTGCGCTCCTTGCTGAGATGTGTATCGAAACGGATGCTTCTGTATTGATAGCAGCGAATGACACAGTTTTGAAAAATAATCATAGAACAGAAAATACGATTTTAAATGTAAAAGTTAAAGAATTTCTTCTTTGCACCTCTTAATTACTCTGGAATTAGAAACTGAATTATATTATTGATATTATTATTATTGAGTTTACAGGGTATGGTCGTTTTGCCGTTTTAAACATTACTGCTGCTGTCGTAGAAATTATTATTTTTTTTTTAAATAGAATTCTATTCTAATCCTATTCTGAATTATTCATTTTTTTAATGATAATTAAAATAAAAACAGGATTGATAAGTATAATTCGGAGGATGTGAAAATAATAATAGTTCAAAGTATGAATTGACTCAATTGACTCACTACAGAGACATGACCTGACATGTTATGAAACTCTCTGTCCAGCAAATGGCACCCATGCAGCGTGAGGTAATTCCCAAAGACTTAAAAAAAAAATATATATATATATATTATTGCTTTAAGTCAAAATCATTTATCCTTTATTTAATTCCAGGATGGAGTTAACATTTATCAGAATGCATGAAATATAGTTTATCTAATTACCTGGATTCAACCAATATTCAATCACACTTGAAATGTGAAACGACAATAACAAGGATATGAAATACCTTTCTTTGTGTTGTAAACTGGAAGTAAAACAAAACAAATCAATTTGAAAATCAAAGATTGTTCATACTAATGCTGGTGACCGTGAAATTAAAACCTACGCATCTTTTCAACTTCTGTGATGAATCCAAATAATGATGGGCCTTGCTGTTGAGCTTTTACTCTCTCACAGAATAAAACCACATTTTCAGAAATGTCAGTTCAGTTTGTTTTTGCAGGACAAAATAATGTTCACATTTGAAGAATCTTCTCAGCTTTTAATTTGGAAGTACTTTCTTCTATATATGTCTTTAATATCAAATGATTTTTCTAATGACAATGGTATAATATGTCCACTAATTTAAGACAGTCTTAGGGATGGCCTTTTCGAAGGATTATCTAAAACTAAAATTAACGTATCGTAATACATTTACATGTTTATGCATACCGTCAGACTGAATAATTATTATAAAACATCTTTATTTTTCAGACAGAACTTCAAGACTGCTTGGCATGACAAAGTTTAGCTGTTGCTGTTGTGCATTCAGTATGGAGATACGATCTGACATGTTATGTGAAGTCTCAGTCCAGCAGATGGCACACGTGCAACGTGAAGTCATACAAAGATGCAAACATGTTTACTCTTATGCAGCAGATTTCATGCAATTAAAACGTTTGGCATTTAGACAGACGGATATATATATTTTCCCCAGTCATCTCAATGGCAAAAGTGTCCAAATTTACCTGGATTCACCCTAGTTAATAAGTTTGTAAGATTTGTGCACTAGATTGATCACATTAAAAAAAAAAAAAAAAAAAAAAGCTTTCTGGCATGAGCGTCATCTGCATGTCAGATCATGGGTGGATCTTGAGCTCTTGTAATATTTAATAAGTAATGTTTTTTTTTTTTAAGTGCTGCACTCTTAAAAATAAAGGTGCTTCACGATGCCATAGAAGAACCTTTTTGTCTAAATGGTTCCATAAAGAACCTTTAACATCTGAAGAACCTTTCTGTTTCACAAAAGGTTCTTTGTGGCGAAAAAAGGTTCTTCAGATTACAAAAAGGTAAGAAAGAGATGGTTCCTTAAAGAACCTTTGACTGAATGGTTCTTTGTGGAACCAAAAATGGTTCTTCTATGGCATCGCTGTGAAGAACCTTTTGAAGCACTTTTATTTTTAAGAGTGTGGTTCACCAATCTGAAATGCTGGATGACTTCTCTCCCGCAGATGGCGCTTATTCAAGGAAGTCGAATAGCCTACATTGAGAAAACAGTCTGTTAGCATTCCCATGACTTTTCTAAAAAGATTTACAGAGATTAAAAAAAAAGAAGAAAAAAAAAAGAAAATAGAATTACATTTGATAGAAGTACATTGGACGTTTGATAGGTGTGTCTGGATAAGTTAAAGTATGTGTGTGTCATTTACACTGCTATAATTATGTAGCTATGCATGTAAAGAGTGCAAGAGATAAAGCAGCATGCGCTTAGTTATGAGTATTTTCTATTAAGTTGCTTTAGGAATCATCCTTCATTTAATTCCAGGATGTAGTTTACATTTGTTATCAGAATGCATGAAATAGTTTCTTCAATTACCCGTAAGCAGAGTGAAATGACACAATTAGTACATCCTCAGAACGTGAATAATGAACTATCATTTCCCCAGGCAGCTATACGTACACAACCCGCCCTGAGTCAAAAACGGTTCGCATTGATCCTGTTTAATGTAAAAGATTTCTTAAAATACCAGGTCCATTAAAACTGCACTCAGACTCACTCATATCCCACCACAACACACGTCATTTCCCTGCCGAGACCCTCATAAAGCAGCATGCACTGAAACAACATCTGACAGGAACCTGATCACGAGGCTACAGATTACTGGAAGAAATCACAACACAAAGGTCATGAAATATACGTACTTGCCAGAAAAGGAAGTTTCCATTGAAATCACATTAAGATTATACATGAAAATAGGAAAATTACTAGGGTAGACTGAGTACATTTGAGACGTGTACAGTTGAAACACTTTAAATAACTTGCGTGCACAGGAACCTCACGCTGAGATTTTTGCTCCGCGCATGCGTATTAGCGTTCTCTTTGATCGTGGGAGATTTGAAAGGTGTGCATCTTTCCACCCCGAAGATATCGGCAAAAGTTTTTTTTATAAGGTAAGATTTTCACTTCACCATGTCCCTTCCACAATGACTAGCTTATGATCCTTTTATGATTGTTAAACTTAATGTATATCATTGCAAACGTTACTCTGTGCTCTAAAAATAGACATATTTTATGACATTGTGCCATGCAAGCTCTTTGCATAATCTAGATGTATATCATTGCAAACGTTAATCTGTGCTCTAAAAATAGACATATTTTATGACATTGTGCCATGCAAGGTCTTTTCATAATCTAGAGAAACGTGCGAGTATGTCAGTGGGGTACGGTTGAGACACAGTGTATCAACTGGACCCGGATTGGTGTCCTATTGCATCACATGCTATTTAGTTGTACAGTGTTATGATAATAGGTTACTCGTATTACCAGTACACTTACTATTATTTGGTATTACCAAATGTCCCCACAAGTATAGTAATGCCAGTAAATTCTAACCTTATGGGAACATTTTGTTCGGTCCCCATGAGGAAACAAGCTTATACATCACACAGAATGATTGAAAATGTAAAAACAAAGAAAGTTTTAAGTGATGGGTAGGCTTAGGGGTAGGGTTATAGAATAAAATATACTGTCTGTACAGTATAAAAACCACTACGCTTATGTAATGTCCCTATAATGTTAGAAATACCTCTGTGTGTGTGTGTGTGTGTGTGTGTGTGTGTGTGTGTGTTTGCGTGTGTGTTAGAGTTAGCAATGTAGTCAGTGAGTGGGCTTTATGTTTGTGCTAATCCTGTTACATGATGCCCCGCGTCAGAATTAGGACCACGAATAGAGGAGTGCCAGCAGAGCTCTTAGAGAAGGCCTCAAATGTAGTAGAGGAGGGGAGGTCAATTAGGAACGTAGCTGAGGAGTTCCACATTCCTGTTGCTACACTGACCCGATATGTCAAAAGGAAGCAAGAGTTAGCTGAGCAGGGCTCAAGCATGTTGCCCTCAGTAGGGTACAAGGGCTCCAATGCGGTTTTTACTTCTGAACAGGAGCTCAGCCTGGTATCTTGTGTCAGGAAAGTAGCAAGCTTATACTTTGGCCTACCCCCAAAAGAGGTAGGAATGCACTAAAAAGCACCAATAGGGAAAGATCAGTCAAACCAGCATTACAGGCACAACAGATGTTATGTTGTACATTTTACATTTTCTGTGAATAAATTCAATAGCCTTTAAGCTTGAAGTTAAATATAAAATTATTAAATGATAAAATTAAACATCTTATACAACTTCATAAACAAGTTATTTGAGTTATTTATTATATTTTATTTTCATAGGTTCGCAAATTGGCCTTTGAATTAGCTAGTTTCCATAGATTACCTTTTCCAGTGGAGTGGGCAAACAATGGCATGGCAGGAGAAAGCTGGTTCACCAACTTCATGCGAAGGCACCAAAATCTCTCTGTTAGGAGACCTCAAGCTACAAGTTTAACCAGATCAACTAGTTTTAATGAAAAAAATGTGGAGACCTTCAACAATCTGGCCACAGTCTATAGAAGGTATGGCTTTGAATCCAAAGACATTTGGAATGTCGACGAGACAGGTCTCACGATTGTCCAAAAACCTGGCCTTCTTGTTTCCACAAAGGGAGAACGAAGAGTCGGTAGTGTGACATCAGCTGAGAGGGGAGCCCTTATCACCATGGCACTCACATCACAAAGTCCTGCTCCTGCAATCACTGGACAAGACTGTGTATGGGCCACTGAAAAAAAAACACTTCAGCTGTGAGATGGACAAGTGGCACCGGGAGAATCCAGGAGAAACACTCACTATCTATGACCTGCCACAATTGCTCAACAACATCTTGCTGATGGGAGCATCACCACAAAATGTCAAGAAGGGGTTTAGGAGTACTGGGATCCGGCCATTCAACCCAGATATCTTCAGTAAAGATGACTTTCTTCCAGCTTCAGTGACTGACAGACCCCCTCCAGATGAATCTCTTCCTGGGCTGTCCACTGCCACCATCACATCTGCTCCTGGGCCGTCCACCTCCACCTTCACATCTGCTCCTGAGCCGTCCACCTCCACCTTCATATCTGCTCCTGAGCCGTCCACCTCCACCTTCATATCTGCTCCCGAGCCGTCCACCTCCACCTTCATATCTGCTCCTGAGCCGTCCACCTCCACCTTCATATCTGCTCCTGAGCCGTCCACCTCCACTTTCATATCTCCTCCTGGGCCTTCCACCTCCACCTTCATATCTGCTCTTGGGCCGTCCACCTCCACCTTCATATCTGCTCCTGAGCCGTCCACCTCCACTTTCATATCTCCTCCTGGGCCTTCCACCTCCACCTTCATATCTGCTCTTGGGCCGTCCACCTCCACCTTCATATCTGCTCCTGAGCCGTCCACCTCCACCTTCATATCTGCTCCTGAGCCGTCCACCTCCACCTTCATATCTGCTCCTGAGCCGTCCACCTCCACCTTCATATCTGCTCCTGAGCCGTCCACCTCCACCTTCATATCTGCTCCTGAGCCGTCCACCTCCACCTTCATATCTGCTCCTGAGCCGTCCACCTCCACCTTCATATCTGCTCCTGAGCCGTCCACCTCCACCTTCATATCTGCTCCTGAGCCGTCCACCTCCACCTTCATATCTGCTCCTGAGCCGTTCACCTCCACCTTCATATCTGCTCCTGAGCCGTCCACCTCCACTTTCATATCTCCTCCTGGGCCTTCCACCTCCACCTTCATATCTGCTCTTGGGCCGTCCACCTCCACCTTCATATCTGCTCTTGGGCCGTCCACCTCCACGTTCATATCTCCTCCTGGGCCATCCACCTACACCTTCATGTCTGCTCCTGCGCTGTCCACCTCCACCTTCATATCTCCTTCTGGGCCGTCCACCTCCACCTTCATATCTGCTCCTGAGCCGTTCACCTCCACCTTCATATCTGCTCCTGAGCCGTCCACCTCCACCTTCATATCTGCTCCTGAGCCGTCCACCTCCACCTTCATATCTGCTCCTGAGCCGTCCACCTCCACCTTCATATCTGCTCCTGAGCCGTCCACCTCCACCTTCATATCTGCTCCTGAGCCGTTCACCTCCACCTTCATATCTGCTCCTGAGCCGTCCACCTCCACCTTTATATCTGCTCCTGGGCCGTCCACCTCCACCTTCATATCTGCTCTTGGGCCGTCCACCTCCACGTTCATATCTCCTCCTGGGCCATCCACCTACACCTTCATGTCTGCTCCTGCGCTGTCCACCTCCACCTTCATATCTCCTTCTGGGCCGTCCACCTCCACCTTCATATCTGCTCCTGAGCCGACCACTGCTGCCTTCATATCTCCTCCTGCGCCGTCCACCTCCACCTTCATATCTCCTCCTGGCCCGTCCACCTCCACCTTCATATCTCCTCCTGAGCTGTCCCCTGCTACCATCACATCTGCTCCAGGGCCGTCCACCTCCACCTTCATATCTGCTCCTGAGCCGTCCACCTTCACCTTCATATTTCCTCCTGGGCCATCCACCTACACCTTCATATCTGCTCCTGGGCCGTCCACCTCCACCTTCATAGCTCCTTCCTGGGCCTTCCACTGGTGCCCTGGCTCTTCCTGAGTCAATAATGACCATAAATTCAGATGATCTTCAGGAAGTAACCCTCACTTTAGTTCCTGTTCCTCTGTCACTGCAAGAGGAGGAAGTCACCTCCACTAAATTAAGATAAATTGATTTCCCTTCAGGTGATCTGTTGGCCATCAAATTCTGAAAAATAAATGTTCATACCTGTGTGAGTGTATGTTCACCAGGAGAATGTTCCAGTTTTTTGTCCTGAACTAATCAGATCCTACCCGAAAGCTGGCCCCAGAAAGACCCATTGTTAGCGTCGGAGGAAAAGAACCAGTGATATTCTCACTGATGCCCCTGTAAAGGAGGACCTTGAAGAGGAGAGAAGGCCCTCCTTAAAAGTGAAAAGATAGACAAAAAAAAGAGGGAAGGAAAATCGAAAAGAAAACCACAGAAGACACCCAATGTCTGGTGTGCAACAAGTGGTTTTCTATGTCCCGGCCGGGAGAGCAATGGGTGTCGTGTTCAAGCTGTGGCATGTGGTCTCATGCAGAGTGTACTCCTGGTGGCCAGAGCTACATATGCCACCACTTTGAGTGACCACTGACCATTAGTTTTTGTTGTTTTCCATTACTATTTCCATTGTTATTTTTACTGTTATGTTTACATTTTGTACTGTTTGCTACATCTTTTCCAGTGTTAAATACTTTGTTCCTATTTTGTTTAACTGAATCTGAATTAAATAAAGCAAATAAATAAATCTGAATGTAAAAAAAAATGCACAACTAATTTATTACAGTCAATGTTTAATGTTCAGAAATTATTATTTCAAGACATGAAAAGCGTTTTGGCTCGTTTTTGTGGGCTGTCCCAAGCCTTGTTGCAATGTGTTCATTGTTAAACTCCAAAATCAGATTATTTTTAATTCTTAAAAACGCCATATATTATAACGCAATATTATTTTATTTTATTGACAAAATATTTTAGTTTGTCTTGTATATTTTTTTCCTGATATAAGATAATGTTTTAAGCTGTCATACAGTCATGTTACAACGTGCCCCTCAGATGTTACAATGTACCCCACTTACGGGGCATGTTGTCACATTTCACTTCCATTTTTTGAGGGTAAATAAAGAAAAAACGTATACACTATAATTATGAATCAAGGTGACATATTTATACTAGACAAGTGTGAAATTACTGTGGACAAAAAAATTATATTCTGAACCCCTTGTGGATTTACACAAACTGAGAAAGTCAAAAAGTGTTACTTTGTGCCCCACTCTCCCCTTTTGCCATACTTTCCGTGAAAGTATTAAAAAAGTCCCAAACCATTGCATCTCCCCTCAAGTGATTCCCAACCGTTTTCGTCAGTAAATCCTTTCTGACCTAAAATATTTTCTTTAAGGTCCCCTACGATTTTATCTTAGCCTAACATTTAACAATATTTGAGTGTTCACCATCTCTGATGTAAGGTTAATGGTAATATGACATTCAGATGCAAGTAAGCAAATGAAATATTTTGGGTTTGTTATAATATTTTAATTTAGATTTATTTATTTTTTTAAATCTGGTTGTTCATTTTATTTAATATTTTATGTTGAAAAGCAAATTAATTAAAGTTAATTATATCAACTTACGAACCGACCCCATTTCCCCTTACGGAGTGTTTAAAGGAATCGGTTCGGTTGAGTGAACGATTCAAGACTCGTTTGTAATTCTTGTCACCATTTGTCCAGCGTGAAACGGGCATAAAGATGAAACCAGCAGAAAAGGTCATTGAAACGCACAAACAAAATGAACTGAGCGATCAAGGCAAGTCTTGAATCACTGCTTGGCCAATCGACTTTGAGCGTTGTACCCAGATTGCACACGTACGTCTGCAAGATGTCTGTTAAAGATCGCTTCATCTGGAAAGCATCTGCTGTGTACAAACATCTGACAGACATCTTTAAGATGTCAGTTTTACATACATTCTAAATCAAACATCTAAAAGACATCTTCTAAACATCTATTTGACATCTGATAGGAAACGTCCTATAGATGTAGGGTAGACTGAGTACAGTAGAGACACTTTTTGCTTTTTTCATGACTACACAAAAACTAGATGCTGAAATTAAGTGATTTTTCATATAGTTTAGATTTTTTTTTGTGTGTACTAAAATATCATGAATTAACAATAGCCATAAGTAGTTTATATTTTTGATTAGCTCATAAACATAATGTGCATTTTTGTCTCAACTGTACCCATATAGTGTACAGTTGAAACTGTACCAAGGTACAGTTGAGACACCCATTCTTAATGCTAGAAAGCTGGCTAATTATTTAATGCAAATGTAATAAATTACATTTGTGCATTTTTTTTTAATTCAGATTTATTTATTTGCTTTATTTTATTCAGATTCAGGTAAACAAAATAGGAACAAAGTATTTAACACTGGAAAAGATATAGCAAACAGCACAAAATGTAAACATAACAGTAATAATAACAACAATAGAAATAGTAATGGAAAACAACAAAAACAGAAAACAAAACTAATGGTCAGTGGTCACTCAAAGTGGTGGCATATGTAGCTCTGGCCACCAGGAGTACACTCTGCATGAGACCACATGCCACAGCTTGAACACGACACCCATTGCTCTCCCGGCCGGGACATAGAAAACCACTTGTTGCACACCAGACATTGGGTGTCTTCTGTGGTTTTCTTTTAGTTTTTCCTTCCATCTTTTTTGTCTATCAAGATCTTTCTTTTCACTTTTAAGGAGGGCCTTCTCTCCTCTTCAAGGTCCTCCTTTACAGGGGTATCAGTGAGAATATGACTGGTTCTTTTCCTCCGACGCTAACCATGGGACTTTCTGGGGCCAGCTTTCGGGTAGGGCTTGATTATTTCAGGACAAAAAACTGGAACATTCTCCTGGTGAACACACACACATGTATGAAAATTTCTTTTTCAGAATTTGATGGCCAACAGGTCACCAGAAGTGAAATCAATTTCACTTACTTTAGTGGTGGTGACTTCCTCCTCTTGCAGTGACAGAGGAACAGGAACTAAAGTGAGGGTTACTTCCTGAAGACCATCTGAATTTACGGTCATTGTTGGCTCAGGAAGAGCCAGGGCACCAGTGGACGGCCCAGGAGGAGATATGAAGGTGGACGGCCCAGGAGCAGATATGAAGGTGGAGGTGGACGGCCCAGGAGCAGATGTGATGGTGGAGGTGGACGGCTCAGGAGCAGATATGAAGGTGGAGGTGGACGGCGCAGGAGCAGATGTGAAGGTGGAGGTGGACGGCTCAGGAGCAGATGTGAAGGTGGAGGTGGACAGCCCAGGAAGAGATTCATCTGGAGGTGGTCTGTCAGTCACTGAAGCTGGAAGAAAGTAATCTTTACTGAAGATATCTGGGTTGAATGGCCAGATCCCAGTACTCCTAAACCCCTTCTTGACATTTTGTGGTGATGCTCCCATCAGCAAGATGTTGTTGAGCAATTGTGGCAGGTCATAGAGAGTGAGTGTTTCTCCTGGATTCTTCCAGTGCCACTTGTCCATCTCACAGCTGAAGTGTTTTTTTTCAGTGGCCCATACACAGTCTTGTCCAGTGATTGCAGGAGCAGGACTTTGTGATGTGAGTGCCATGGTGATAAGGGCTCCCCTCTCAGCTGATGTCACACTACCGACTCTTCGTTCTCCCTTTGTGGAAACAAGAAGGCCAGGTTTTTGGACAATCGTGAGACCTGTCTCGTCGACATTCCAAATGTCTTTGGATTCAAAGCCATACCTTCTATAGACTGTGGCCAGATTGTTGAAGGTCTCCACATTTTTTTCATTAAAACTAGTTGATCTGGTTAAACTTGTAGCTTGAGGTCTCCTAACGGAGAGATTCTGGTCCCTTCGCATGAAGTTGGTGAACCAGCTTTCTCCTGCCATGCCATTGTTTGCCCACTCCACTGGACAAGGTAATCCATGGAAAGTAGCTAATTCAAAGGCCAATTTGCGAACCTATGAAAATAAAAATAATAATAAATAACTCAAATAACTTGTTTATGTAGTTGTATAAGATGTTTCATTTTATCATTTAATAATTTTATATTTAACTTCAAACTTACAGGCTGTTGAATTTATTTACAGAAAATGTCAAATGTACAACAAAACATCTGGGCCCGTATTCAATTCAATTCAATTCAAGTTTATTTGTACAGCGCTTTTCACGATAAAAAATCATTGCAAAGCAACTTTACAGCAAATTAAGTTTCTACAATATTTAGTGGTAGCTTATCAGTGGTGACTGTCAGTTAATGTACATATGGCAGAAATGTACGGAACAATCAAAGACGTAATCAAACAGACGATGAACACTATTAACAGCAATTATTATATGATGCAATCAAACTTATAGCAACATTTGGTAGTTCTGCTATAAGTTTGATTGCATCATATAATAATTGCTGTTAATAGTGTTCATCGTCTGTTTGATTACGTCTTTGATTTTTGATTCACAAAACATCTTAAGACTAAAAGTAGCTCATAACTCGCTGATTTAAGATAAAATCTTAAAAATAATGGGCGTGTCAGTCCTAAATTTAGGACTCCTACAATTTTGCTCTAAGAGTATTTCACAAAGCGTTTTAGCACTAAAACTAGCTCCTAAATCTGTGAAACCATAGGAGTAGTGAAGAGGACTCTTAAGTCACTAAGACCAAGCCACAAACTATCCTAAAATGTCTGTTTGCTGGCAATCTGCCTCGGAACGTAAACATTTTAGAAACATTTGATGATAATGCCCTTTTAAAAGGTTACTCCAACTCCAAATTTTCCATTGATTATATACTTGTTTTCATTAACCAGTTGGGCAAGAAGTAAAATATGTGCTTGTGTCCAGTTTGTTTGTTTTATTTTAATTTATTTTTTACATTTGCATGTATTACTATCAGCCATGATTATTCTACTCTGTTAATTAAAAGGCTATTTATATGCATTTCCGCCAATTGTTTTGAGAAGCACACATGTAATTTGTAATCTTTATTTGAATGTGACAATTAACATTTTTTATTTTTAAACCTTTATTTGAATACAGCAATACGTGCTCTACAATATTTCTATGAATAAATCTCTTACAGAGACTATCAGCCAATCACTGTGTGCATCGTTAGTAAGTATGCGGACATCATCCATGGCAACAAGGTCAACCCCGCTCCCTTACTCTTAGCTTAAGACTTCTCTCTATTCCTTAGTAAAAGTTTGTCTCAGCAGCTTTGTGAATAGGTTTTAAGAGAAAACTCTTAGCTAAAAACTTTTACTGCTATTAGAAGAACTCTTAGTGGTAAGATAACATGTTTTGTGAATACGGGCCCTGTTGTGTCTGTGATGCTGGCTTGTTTGTCACTGTGCTTAGCCTGGTCTCTCCCTATTGGTGCTTTTTAGTGCATTCCTACCTCTTTTGGGGGTAGACCAAAGTATAAGCTTGCTGCTTTCCTGACACAAGATACCAGGCTGAGCTCCTGTTCAGAAGTAAAAACTGCATTGGAGCCCTTGTACCCCACTCACTGACTACATTGCAAAACTCTAACACACACACACACACACACACACACACACACACAGAGGTATTTCTAACATTATAGGGACATTACATAAGCGTAGTGGTTTTATACTGTACAGACAGTATATTTTATTCAATAACCCTACCTCTAAGCCTACCCATCACTTAAAACTGTCTTTGTTTTTACATTTTCAATCATTCTGTGTGATGTATAAGCTTGTTTTCTCATGAGGACCTAAATAAATTTTCCCATAAGGTTAGAATTTACTGGCATTACTATACTTGTGGGGACTTTTGGTAATGCCAAATAATAGTACACTTACACACACAGATTGTGAATATGCATTTTATTTTCTATGATTGAACTGTTACTGCATACATAGCGACCTATAAAGGGTGTATCAACTGTACCCACTTTACCACCTTGTATATTTTACAAAATGTAATATCCTTAATATTAATGTTATCCTTTTAATATTCAAATTAGAAAACATGTCCATTAACAATAGACAGTTGAAATATCACAAATATATATTTTTAAAACATAATTTGCATAGCATGTGTGTAAATGTGACTTGTATCCCATTATCATAACACTAAACAGCATGTGATGCAATAGGACACCAATCCGGGTCCAGTTGATACACTGCGTCTCAACCGTACCCCACTGACATACTCGCACGTTTCTCTAGATTATGCAAAGAGCTTGCATGGCACAATGTCATAAAATATGTATTTTTTAAGAGCACAGAGTAACGTTTGCAATGATATAAATTAAGTTTAACAATCACAAAAGGATCATAAGCTATTCATTAAGGAAGGGACATGGTGAAGTGAAAATCTTACCTTGTAAAAAAAAAAAAAAAAAACTTTTGCCGATATCTTCAGGGTGGAAAGACGCACACCTTTCAAATTTCCCACGACCAAAGAAAACGCTAATACGCATGCCCAGAGCAAAAATCACGGTGCGAGGTTCCTGTGCACACAAGTTATTTAAGGTGTTTCAACTGTACACAATGTGTCAAATGTACTCAGTCTACCCTAGTGCAGATTAGCAAACACTAAAAAAAAATATGTGTACCCAAGTAACTGTGTGCATTTGTGTGTGCTAACACATGTTTGTACAAGCACCTGTGTGAGTGCAGGATGCTGATTCAGAAATGACTAGCAGCAGGCGGAGGCTTGATCAGAGGCGTGCTGTAACTCTACTGGAGGCGTGTCATTGACAGCTATATATTTCGAAATCTATTAGGACAGAATATCAAATGATAAGATACAGTGAAGGTAGGAAGGCAGGAAGGAGAAACGCCACCTTTCTAGAGAGAGAGAGAGAGAGAGAGAGATGAGGCTGCACAGAATGTAGAAAGAGTCTCAGAACTATGTGGAACATAGAGAGGAACAACAGGCGACCGCAGTGAGAGCACCGGGGAGCTGAATTACCCGTGGAGGAACCAAGACAGAAAGAAAAGGGACACTTTTCTGTAAACTTTGCTTTCACTTGTCGTTGTTTCAGCCCCTTTAACTCTCAGAAGGTAAGAATCATTTCCTGCATTCTGATCATATCTGAGTCGGTCAGTCAGTTTGAAGATCAGGGTTAATTATTATCACAGATATGAAGACATGCTTTTACTGTATTTAATCACTGAATATCTTAACACCATATCTAGACACGTTTTTTTTTTATGTATACAATACGAAGTTTACATTTATGCATGTAGCAGATGCTTTATCCAGATCATTCCAGGAATACATTTTGCCAGTATGTGCTCTCTGGGAATTGAACTTATGACCACGATGTTGCACCATCTACCATCTGAACTACAGAAGTGATTCATTAGTATGATTCATAGCTGTAAAAAACTTCATTAAAGCAGCAGCTTCTTAAGGTGTTTTTCAAGAAATGATTTACAGAGGAATGCATGTACGGTAGTGTTGGGTAACTCATCTGGAAAGACATGCAAGGAAAATTAGCATGCCTAATTTTTCCCAACTTTCCAAGCTGTTAGTGCATCCCGGACCAACAGCAAACCAGCTAAAGGTGGTGAAGAAGCCAGTGACCATTTACACAAAGGTTCTTTATTGGTATCTATGGTTCTATGACGCCAATTATTGTGTCCCATACTCTGAATTTTTGCTCTGCATTTAACCCAATTGAAGTCCACACACACGGCAGTGAGTAGCGAACACACACACACACACACACACACACACACACACACCCAAAGCAGTGAATGAAAATAATGGTTCTTTTAGAAACGGCTGACTGAAAGGTTCTTTGAGGAACCAAAAATTGTTCTTCTATGGCATCGCTGTGGAGAAAAAAAAAAAACTTTTGTAACCTTTATTTTTAAGATTGTACATTATGTTCTCTCAACTCTGGTAGAAGTTAGCTTCAACCCGAATCAAACCCACATGAACAAGCCAATCAAGATCTTCAGGATTACTAGGAAATTACTGGGAGGTGAGATTGATCAGGTTTGGAGCTAAACTCTGCAGAACAGTGAACCTCGAGGGCCAGACTTAAGAAGCCTTGACCTATGAGCAAACGCCTCCCGCTTACAGTATGTCGATTAGCAATGGATTATAAATATACATAATTATATATGAAAATACCTGAGGTGGTTTTAAAGGGGTGGTTCACTGGCTTTTTTCTAGGCTTGATTGTGTTAATGGGGTGCAGTCTAATATGTGTTAATGCTTCGTTTTTTAAAATACTCATTATTTTTCACATAATTTACCTTTATTCCACTACGCTCTGTCCCTTCTCTGAGAAACGGGCTGATCTTTTCCTGTTTTTATGAAGTCCCGCCCTCAGAAATACGCGATGGGGTCTGATTGGTTAGCTGGCCCAGTGTGTTGTGATTGGCTAAACCGCCTCTAGTGCGCGTCTAAAAGTCCTTTCGCGTGTCTTTCAGCTCCGTAACTTTGCAGATATTGTTTATGCTCAAACAGCAACATTACACACTAACTAATGTTAAAAAAGTGAAATCACAATCAACCACCCCTTTAAGAACACAGAAAAACTATCAGTCGAGTGTTTATTGTCTTCATGTTTAAACATTCAAAGTTTTTTTTTATCTTCTGTTATTCAGTTACAACAATAGCTTTGTCATTATTATTTCTTTGTCATTATTATTATCATTATTTGTCATTATATTTCCTGCAGCATCATTGGTTCTATTACTTCTGTGATGCATATGTGGAGTTTCTGTTTTTGTACAGTGTACTGGAGTTTTTTTATAGCATTTTAAATTGCAAAAAAAAACTTTTAAAAAATTAGGTATTTATTGAACCGTGGGCTAACTGTATTGTTGCAATCCTACTGTTTACTCTAAAGTACTGTATAACAGGAATAGCACAAAGGTGTGTGTGACTGAGTGCTAAGCTGGAATCTTATGATAAAATATGCATGTATGCATTACATTATAAAAAATACAATGGGCATGGTACTATTTTGGACATGTGACTTAACCTACAAATACCATTGCACATAAATATGATAATAATGTAGTATCATTAGTTGACTATCTGCACCATGTTACAGTTATATTTATATATCACACTCCCACATTATGCAACCCGTGCTATATTTGGGCTGTAGACAGTTGTCAATGCTGTTTTTTTATTACGATCACTATCAGCAATCCAGGGAAAGTGTGTTTGGGCATCCACTCATGTCAGCGCACATCTCCTCACATATATTTGCTTTTTTTTCCTGTGCACGTCACTAGAATATTGTCATCTGTGTAAAGCGTGTTAAGACTCGCAACTTACGTTTCAGGCCAGTGCTGTACGACACATCATCTGCCTAATGAACCGTGTGGAGTAACAATAATGTTTAGATGTGGTCGGAAGGAGCTTATTCTCGTAAAAAGCCACAAATGCGTATGTTTATGTGCTGTGATTTGAGTCAGAATCAGGTGTATGTCGCTGTAGCAGGTGTAGTCAAGCGCTCATTACTCTATTGTGTTCTCACCGAGGGCGTGTTTGTCTTTTTTAGTGGGTGTGAGTGGATTATCACGTCTGTTTGAGGTGTATGTCTCAGACGGTGACGAGACTCCTAGACAAACACTGCATACAGTCCAAAGACTGGCCACATTGAAACGGGAATGTCAGAAAGTCAATCGAATCGTGTTAGACTTCACTTTAGCAAATCTCGTTATCAGCCTGCCTTTCTTTCTTCTGATCCCGGTTCTGTACGGGTCTGGCTTCGGTGGAATTAGGAAAGAATTGTGAAAGATTTCTGGAGTACATTTATGCCAGCAGATTTCATGTCTGGTCTCGCCATCAGGAAGCAGGTTTTATGAGGAAAAACATTTTCGAGAAATTCCAACTTCTTACACATTTTCCCATGAAACTGAATGTAAATAAAGGACTTTCTGTATATGGTACCTGTGGCTTTGCAGTACTGATGTTTTCACTGAATAGTGTTGTAACAAGCTGTGATATAACTTTGACTTTTATCTGCAAGCAACATAACACACAAACACAAACATTTACATTGTATATATTAATTTAATTGTTAATTATATTTCCTTTTTTTATAGGTAAAATGTACAAATTTTGGCACTTTGTGTGTAACGATTGGCTTTTGCACTGAATTTTTCCCCATTTTCTTTATTCGTTCCGATGTTACATCCCTCCTCCTCTGCTCAGACATTATATTATTAGCTTTTTAAATTATTTATACACTTAGGTGTAAGTTTAGAGTAATAATTGATAATTTAATGTTTTAGATCTACTTAACCAAGACAATCTGCTTTTGATGCACTTTTTTTGCCATTTACCATGCACTCTCAGAAAAAGAAAGGTACAAAAACTGTCACTGGGGCGGTACCTTTTCAAAAGGCACACATTTGTACCTAAACAGTCCATATTGGTACTTTAACGGTACATATTAGTACCTAAAAGGTACAAAAGTGTACCTTTTGAAAAGGTACTGCCCCAGTGACAGCTTTTGTACCTTTTTTTCTGGGAGTGTGCCAAACAAATTATAACCCAATATAAATTGTGAAATGTTGATTTTTCTACTTCAAAAAAACCTTTATATTTATACACAGAGACTTAGAGCTTATACTGTTATATCTTGTATCCTGTAGCTCATTTCTGATTTGTTAAACTGACAGCATTACGGTCTGCCAAAATGAGGCGATACCTAACCTTTAAGCAATAGTGCACTCAAAAAGTAAAAATGCGTCTCACTCACCCTCATGTTGTTCCAGACCCGACTGACTTCCTTCTGTGGAACACAATGGAAATTAATCATATTGATCCAAACTGCTGGTACCCACACAACAAAAGCAGCTTTCAAATTCCAGAAAAGTTCAAATCTACCATAAACAAGTGGTTTTCAGTTCCGGTCAGACGGGTGTAGCGCTCACCTAATTAGCTGAATCTGAATCAGGTGTGTCAAATAGTAAAGCCCTACAGAAGATGCAATGCTGCGGATCCTCAGAATTAAAACCCACTGCCATAAACCATCATAGAAGTCCAAAAACAGTAGTGCATATGAGTTTTGCACTAGTCTTTTAAAGTCATATATTGGGTTTGAGACTGAAATCGAAGGTATTGTATTATTGTGTCTTGCATGTCTAGTAACTGACTATGATGTGTCAAGTTTGACTAAGCAATAATACGAGATTTGAAGGCAACCGCAGGTAAACGTCTGTGTAGATGAAAGCAGCTTGAACAATTTTAAACAATTCCCCTTTTGTGTTACTCATTAGAAAGTCTTACAGATTTGGGGCAGAATGAGAGTGAGTGAACTGATGACAGCTTTCAATTCTGGGAGAACTGCTGCTTTGATGATTCAAATCGCTATACTCTTATCCATGACAATCTTCCCTGACCTCTTACTGTTGTGTCTGGCCACAAAAAAGATTTGCAACATTAATGACTAGACAGCTCCTCAGTGAGTGATGATTAAATCCAAACAGCCATGTGACAAACTGCTCATGTAAAGGTCAGGAGGAAATGAAGTCTGCCTACACAAGCATTATTTGTACGAATCATGGTAGCCGGCACAAAAACAAGGTTCTTCAGAACTGCAGGCCATCAGCCCATGCGCTTGTGCTCCAGTTTCACGTTTGAAGTGGGTTCTGAAGCAGGAATACAGTGACTGATGGAAATGCCTGATGTGGTCTGGTGAAGAGTGTGATGCCATAGTTTCACAGCTTTAACCACACCTGAATCTGCTTCTCATGATCTTTAAGACCTTTTCATCTGCATACGTCAGTTCAGTTTTGACAAAATATAATTTTGTATGTATCAAATCAAGTCAAATACATGTTTATTAATGTTATTTAATGGAAGATTTGAAGTGCATATTGGAAAAGCATCATGATATGCTTATTGCACAGGTCAACACATCATTCCCAAAACTCCCTTTTGTGTTATTTCATAACTTTGATGACTTAACTATTACTAATTATGTTAAGCAAAAATGTGAGAATCTTATTTCTTTACATTTTTTTGTTATTTTAGTTTTTACTGGTGCTATCTATCTATCTATCTATCTATCACTGAGTTTACAATTTTGTCACATGTTATAGTCACCAAATCATTCCCATAACTCCTTTTTGTCTTATTTCATAACTTTGATGGCTTAACTATTACTAATAATGTTATGTAGAAATGGGGAAATATTATATATTTGCATTTTGTAGTTTATGTATTTATTTATTTATAATTAATATTATTAATAGTATATTAATATAATTTGTATTGAAAAATAGGATATCTTGTAATTAAAATTAGGACTTTTAAAATAAGAAAAAAATAAAAAGTATTTTTGAGAACTTTATTTTGGTGCATATATGACTTAATGTTCAGTAGCCCTGTGAAACGATACTTCACCAAAGATATACTTGCCTTTGAAAAAATCACAAAAACAATACCACATATTATGAGAAACTAATGGCACCATGCTGAAATAACGCCACTACACCAACTAAAATCAAATGGATAAAATGATGTTTTATTGCGTGACATCTTTTTAAAATGTCAATTGAAAACACGCAGGTTTATCTTCTAGTAAAAACCTCAGTCAGCATAAATGACCACAAATCATTTCCTGTATGAACTTCCTGCAGTGATAAACATGCAAGGTTTGTGGGCAGAAGTGGGTCTTCCTACAAATACTGGCCCGCGTCACATATAAAGACTGAGTTTGCACAGTGTCCATTGTCAATTCTTCAGATTCATTCTGCGTTTTTCTAAACTTTCACTTGTCGTGTTCTGCGTCTCATATCTTTCCTTTCTCCGAGGGCCTCTAATGGACGCAGTGTTCTGGTCGTCCGTGTTCTTTCACTCGGTGTACCACGTTGGTGCCTCTTGAACGGATGGTTTGTGGTCATATTGAATTGTGGAGATCTGGTGCGAGGACTCCTGTAATCACTTCAGCGGAACATGTTTGTAATGCACCAGGGAGCCTGTCAGCGTCTGCTGTATGCTAATGCCTTCACTAATGTACAGTAAGTGGCTCTGCGGACATGATTTTTTCCTCCGGCCGCCACCGAGGCATGCTGATGCTACAACTCTCTGACCTGTGCTGCTGTCTGAAGACCACAGACCTCATTTACAGTGGCTCACACCCTCTTTATGAGCGTCTAATATCGAAAATATATCCAAAATTCAAACAAATGAGTTTGCTCTTGATATACATCCACAGACGTTCGGTTGCCTTTGTGGTTTATCAGTATTAAATGTTATATTAGGGCGGGTTATTAGAAGAACCTGGAACAGCTTCGCCAACGAGTCATTTGCAGCAAACATACCAGAAGTAAAAGCCCATTTATTTTCTCCATAGAGAAATCAATTTCTAACTTCTGTTATAACCTCTCAAGACAGACCAACCATGGACTCCCAGGTTATTAATTGTTGGTATGCTTCCATTGAAGCTGGCGTTCAGAATAATTTCAACTTCATGTTGTAAAGAGTAATAGTCAAGTCAGTCTCATTATACTCTCAAACTACGATTAAATGTATGATTAGATACATATTGTTTTTATTCATTTATGTCATGCACATTAAGTACAGTCCTTTTCCTGTTCATATTTTTTTTGGTTCAAATCAAAGTTTGTAATTTTGCAATTCGTCTCATCCAATTCAATTCCTATGGAGGAAATAAGAAATGAATGGAGAAATACTTCTGGATCCAGTACTGCTGAAAATATCTTTGTTATCTACTGACTTCTAAAACAGATGCCATTATCAAATTAAACAAGTTCATTTGAAAATATCAGTTGATCAGTAAAATGATGCTCTGTCAAATAACTGTGTAATGAGGAGAGATAATAACGCTTATGTACTATTGAAATTAGTGTAGTAACTTCTTACTGGATGCATATTAACAGAATTAACTGGAAACAAAAATGTTACACAATCAAAAAACTGTGTTACAGGAAATGATGTCCCCTTTTTTTTTTTTTTTTGGGAGCTTCAGTTATACACTTTTAATGTTGCATATTCACAGTTATTACATCCATATCTATATAAATATACACATATAGTGTTGTTGATTACATTTCAGTACTACTTTTATTCAGCGAGAGTAAAAACATTGATTTCTATTTCAAATGAATCATGGTTTTGATGGAAGTACTAAGTAGCACAGCTGTTTTCAATATTGATAATGATCAGTTTCTTTTTTTTCCCCCCTGAAAATTCTGCTTTCACCACAGGAATAAATGACATTTTATAATATATTCGCATAGAAAACCAATATTTAAAATTGTAATAATTTTTCACAATATTGCAGTTTTTACAGAATTTTTAATCAAATAAATGCAGCCTTGGTTAGCCAAAGAGACTTCTTTTAAAAGAAAAAAGAAAATAAAAATATATATATTTTGACCAGTAATGTAAGTCACCGTTTTGTATTGCCACAACCAGTACAGTGTTTAAACCAAGCTAGACAGTCACTGCAACTGACAAAACATTCTTTTTTTAACCTTAGATTGTCAAGATGGCCTTGAACCACAATGAGCTCCTGTCCTCTTCTCCTGTCCTACATGTCACTCCGTCCTCTACCCCAATTGTCCTTCCCAGTCCGACTCTGAACATGTCAATACAGCATGCTGCCAACTTCTCCTCCGGCACGACTAGTGGTAGCGAGACGATCTTGACCAACAGCGTCGGAGCGATCACTGGCGCAGTGATCCTCGGCCTCGTCTTCCTCCTCGGCGTCCCCGGGAACGTCTTCATCATTTGGAGCATCTTGGCCAGAGCACGGCGTCGCTCCATCACCACCCTCCTGATCCTGAACCTCGCCTTCGCCGACGGCTTCCTCATGCTGCTGACGCCCTTCTTCATGGCGTATTTGGCTCAGCGCAGTTGGATTTTCGGCCTGGCGCTGTGCAAAGTCCTGTTCTACCTCTGCTGCGCCAACATGTACGCTTCCATATTTCTGATCATGCTGATGAGTCTCCACAGGCTGGTGGCGATAGTGTGGCCGAAGCATGTCGGCGCGCTGACAAACCGCAGGACGCTCTCGCGGGTGCTGGCGGGACTCTGGGTTCTCGCTCTGGGACTCTCTGCGCCCGTTTTGGTTTTCAGGACCACCACCGAGGACAACAAAGAGCCTCTGAGATTCGTGTGCGACTGCCAACACCAACAACCACAATATGTGAGTCTTTTCTACATTAACATTTCAGATTAAAACGTATTACATGCACATCCAGGAAAAAAAGCACACTGAAATGAATGAAGCTCTTCAAGAGGCTGAAAATTACACACATAATGCATGCACACCCAGTAGTTCACCCCAAAATTAACATTTGCAGAAACCACCCCCCAGGCCATACAAGATGTAGCTGAGTTTGTTTCTTCATCAGGTTTGGAGAAATGTAGCATTGCATCACTTGCTCAGCAATGGATGCTCTGCAGTGAATGGGTGCCGTCAGAATGAGAGTCCAAACAGCTGATAAAAACATCACCATAATCCACACCACTCCAGTCCATCAATGAACGTCTTGTGAAGCGAAAAGCTAAAAAGTTTATAAGAAACAAATCCATCAAGACGTTTTAACTTCAAACCGTTGCTTCTGGCCAAAACACAAGTCCATAATCCATAATAACACTTCCTCCAGTGAAAAAGTCTGTCTCCTGTTGTACTCTCACATCAGAATCCACACATATGTTTGACTTTTTTTCGTATTTTAGCCGGAAGCAATTTTGAAGAACATCTAAATTATTGGTTATGTTACAACCTGTAATCAGTTGCAATCTGATATTACAATGAGTTGGGATTTGATTTGCATAAAATGCATAACAGCTTGAATGTGCAAAATACGGTTTTGGTGTAACCTAAAAGTTAATTAAGCCTTATGCAACATTTGCTCATTGTAAGTATGCATCAGTTCTTGTAGAAGCATCTTTGGCTGCTTCTGTTCTGGGAATGTTTTTATCAGGTTGGTACATCCAGACCTTGCAATGTTTGGAAAAACTACCAAGGCTCTGTGAGGTTAATTGGAAGAGAACTGTTGGTGAACGGCAGTAACTGGGCCCTTCTGAGTTGTTCAGGTTCTGATATTTATATCATTCTCGTTTATTTGGCAGTTTGAACCTTGCTCTCTATAAAGAGCTTCTCCACATCATGACATTGTCACGCAAATAGTGTTTTGTGCCAAAAAACATTTGGCAGAGAACTATATTTTTCTCATTTGTAATGTGTCCAACAAGCCTTCGGGCAGACATATTTTCGATAAGATCAAGGGCAAAATTCAAATATCTACAACAGTGTTCGTTCATTCCCATTACATCTCTGTTATTTCATGACAGTGTTGTTCGTCTGCAGGAGGTGATGCAGTACGGTATGGAAACATTACTGGGCTTCTTGTTGCCATACGGCGTGATCATAGGCAGTTACGTGTGCATCCTGCGCAGAATCCGCCAGACGCGCTTTCGCAGACGCATCCGCAGCGAGAAACTCATCCTGGTGATCATCATCACCTTTGGACTCTTCTGGCTGCCGTACCACATCATAAACATGGTGCAGGTGTGTGTCTGTCCATCAAATACCTAATTTCTCAAATGTGAAAACACCCTAATCGTGTTTTCCTCACACAGGTGGCTGCAGCTTTACTTCCGGGAGATTCAGCAAAAAAAAAGTGAGCAACTTAAAACACTCACACCAGGACCTCAGCAGCTCTAAAATGAAGATCAACCGCTCATAGTCCAGCTCAGAGTCCAGTATCTCTTAAGCATATTTGATTAAATTGTGCTAGTTCATTTAACTTTTTCTATTAAATGCAATTAACTTTTAGTAATGTTTGAGTAAAATTAACTCATTTAGTAACTCTGACAAGGAAAGCTATGCTTCAAAATGGTAAACAAATTCTGCTATAAGCACCTCTAACAAGACAATATTGTCATTAGTACAGTAATCCAAAGCAAACTTATAGGTTTTTAAATTGCTCTTTTATAGCGTCTCAGATTTTTAAGCGTTAAAACACTAACCAGCTGTTCTTACTTCGACAGACTAATAAATGTCAGGAAGAAGCTGCGAGCGCTCACCTCTACCGTGGCCTTCGTCAGCAGCTGCATAAACCCCGTCCTCTACACCTTCGCCGGTAAGTCGTACATCCGGCGGGAGGGTCTGGCCTTCATGGCGCGGCTGTTCGAGGGAACGGCGCTAGAAACGACGCGGAGGATCCGGCGCAGCAACCAGAACAGCCGTGACCGAGAGAAGGACACCGACGAGGGAGACAGTCTCAAAGACAAAGACTCCGACTCCAACACTACTGCGAACGCAAACTCGGTTATTAAAGTTGTGCCGCAGAAAAACGGTAAGTGAGCGTCTGGCTGCGGCTTGTGACGGGAAACTCAATCTACAGTGGGATGTGCATTGTTAAAGGTGTTGCACGGTGGGTAAATGAGGACAGCTTGTGCTTTTGTAACAGATGGAGGTCAATCCAAGTTTGTATTATAAAATAAAAACTGTGTACCCAAAAACAAAACGAGAACAAGGAGCCCAGTGCCTAAGCCAAACCATCGCCAGACCGAGGACCGAGACTGCCACAAGTTTTTAACATCGACTAATGGGCTAAACAAGGAACAGGTTCTAACTGTTAAAAACATGGCAAAGAAAGTCCACAAATCCGACAAAGGAAGAGCTGTATTTATTCCAGTGCTTTCAAAGAACCGCTTCATGTCGTTGTCCAGTAGAGGGTATCACGCAACTGAGAGACAGAAGATCCCTTCAGGGCTGCGTTTCCCAAAAGCATGGTAAGACTAAGTTGATGGTAGAACCATTGTGTCAGGGTTCTCTGAGTTGTGTTGTGTCTGAGCACATGGCTGTCTTTGTTTGTGTTTGCCATGTGCTCCTCTTGTCCCGCCCCCTTGTTTCCCATTACCACGCCCCCTTGTTTAGTGCTTGAGTCCTCTTTTTTTTGTCAGAGTGTTGTCAGCTGTTCCTCATGTCTCAGATCCCTTTATGTTGTGCTCTCGTTCCCTCTTGTGTTGCCAGTTCGTCTCATATAATGTGCTGTTCTCGCTATTCGCAATAGTCTGTGGTGTATTGTTCAGCTGGTTCTTGTTTTGTTCCTGTGTATCCTTGCCCTAGTGTAATATTCTTCAATGTTTTCTGCTTTACTGAAATTTAGTACTGAAATTTAAGATGGAACCCAATGTCCAGTTACGTTTTTCTTTCAAAATAAATTTCCATGACTTTTGATGAATGTTTAAGGATGTATTTATTTTGTTTTATGATTTGACAGATTCTGCGAAACTGCATTGTTAGAAAATGTATAATGACATTACATTTCCTGATAGCTCTAGATTTTCCAGTGAGCCCGGATTACAGTAAAATAGAGTGATTTAGGGTTTAATTGAGACTATGTTGTCATGGCATCAGTGAATGAGGTAAATAAACGTTTGAGGGTTTCTGTGCTTAATTATATCACTAAAAGTGTTATTTCCATTCCTATTTTTTTTTATTATGTAGGCCTACTACATCATCAGTCATATTAAATGTTATTATTTATACCGATTCATGTCTGCATGTGTGTTCGTGTTCTGGGATTATAATGATGATATTTGAAAAACTGAAATTATGATCCGTTGTAAATGTGTAAATATCAGCTATGTGGTTTTAGTATCTGTCATGGAGGCCTTGTGTGCCAATAAATGTATTCATCGGCAAATGAGTTTACATGAATATTCATTAGTTTCCATAATGTGGGCGTGTCATTGTGACAACGTGCAAGCAACTTGTTTAAAGAATTATTTCGAAAAGGTAACGAAGTTTCAATGTTAAGCATCAAAGCATTAACTGCAACCGAGTCAAAACAATGCATCGTTTGTATAATATGATAAATCGCTGAGCTGTCCTGATTGATTACAGGCACACAGCAGAGCAAACAAGAAGCAAATAACCTGTGCTAACCCAGGCTAATATCATGTTTTACTCTTTGATGTGCTTAGCTTTTTATTTCATTTGTGAGACTTTCATTTTTATTTGAATAGTTGGATTAGTAGCCAACCTAGTTGTCATTGGTGACTAGTACTGCAGTTTGTTTACAACAATGCTTGAAATAAACCTCTACAAATGTATCTGTGGCCTAATAAAATGTATGTAAACAAGCCTGGTGTGAGTATCCTGTTTTTCCTTTTTTCATTATATACTGGATATCATGTAGAATTATAATTAAAGTCACACAAGTAAATGTGCATTAAATGTGCAAATGTGTTCTTTTTTATTATTAAGCTTTTTTTAAAACATCAAAATCGTTCTACATTCACCTGTTTTGGGAATCTCCAAGTACTAATAGATTATAAGAGATTAGACGTATAAGTGCACCCAAATATGACAACTCTGTCATTACTTACTCACCCGTTCGAAACCAGTTTGAACAAAAAACACTGACACATTTCGCAAAGTATCTTCTACAGACAAATGAGTCATACAACCTTGACACAACATGAGAGGGAGTGAATGGACCTACAAAAGCACAAGTCAAATACAGAACAAAAAACAGAGCATTGTGTAACAGTTTTAGGGAATGTGAGAAAGAACTACTACTAATAATAAATATCATATGCATACATTGTGTCTGTTCTTTGACCATATGTTGCACTGAAAAACAACCTACTTCCATGTCATATGTTTAAGAATGGTGTGTGAAAGCATCCAAAATGTCATGATCCACAGTATTGTGTTAATCATGTTTAACATTTGAAAATCTTATTCAAAAGTGTTTTTTTTTCACATTTTACAAGTATAGATATTGTACTATCAGGGCTGGATTGGTAATTGGGCATACCGGGCATTTTCCCGGTGGGCCGATGCACTTAAGGGGCCGACATAATTTGTTAGTTGGAAAAGAAGAGAAAGGAAATGATGGATTTTGCCTGTGAAAGAAATGTGGAAAGGCAAAATAATGTGCAGAGGTACAAGCGACAAGAGGAACAGGAGAAAGCCAGAGACAATGCCAAACAGGACCGTCATGCTGGCTTCATACAGTAAGTATTTAAATTACTGAATCCTAAATTGACCTAAAATAAATGTGCACATTGGCAAAGCACTTAGCACTAAGTTCTGCTGGAAATTATGTTCTTGTGTTTGGTCAGCCATAAAATGGTTAGGATAATAATAAATTGTTCACTAATTAATTTGTAAATCTGTTTACAGTGACATGAAACTAGAGAGTGCTGCCACCTCCTCTCTGGAAGACCGTGTGAAGAGAAACATTCACTCTATTCAGAGGACCCCTGCTGCTCTGGAGAAGAACTTCATGAGAAGATGAGACCATAAAGAACATGGAAACTTTCACCTCTGTCTTTTGTTTTAAGATTTTTGTAATTTTTAATTAACATCATGATGCCAGATCATGGTTGTAAATAAAATGTACAAATGACACCTGTTCTCCTTATGGGCTTTGTCTTAACCAACTGACCAACCTGTTCCAGTCATCAGTACTGATATGTCTGTAAAAAATAAAATAAGTTCAGGGACTATTTATTCCATTCGAGTTAGTGTGAAACTGGTTCAGTTTGTCTCGGTTGTTTAACATTTTATGTTAAAAGTGGAAAAAGTTGGTCAAAAACATACATTTGCACACAAACTGACCACCAACCGCAACTTTCAGGCGCCATTTTTATTTAGTTTTTTGCTAAGTTGTCACAGAGTAGAACACACAGGATTGTGGGATATCAAAGGCAGCTAAGGATACATCTATGCTGCCTTCAAAAATCCATCAGATGAAGGTATCTCAGGAAACAGGAATTGAAGCTAAAGTCGGGCTCACACTGCGATTTTTTTAAAAGTCTTTTAGGATTGTACTTGTCAGACTGTACGAACATGATGATCATGTCACACTGTGAGATCTCAGTGTGGATTGGTAATCAGGCATACCGGGCATCGCACTTAAGGGGCCGACAGAATGTTTTTTTTGTTTTTTTTGCCAAGGACCATCACGCAGGGACAGCGAGCAGCCAGTGGCCCGTTGGTTTGTGCCCTGTATTGACAGCGTAAACATCCAATCACAATGCGCTATAGACGGAGCGATGAAGTATTTTGCTCCGCCTATATAAAGATCGCTTCACTCCAACTTCTTCCTCGTCGGCTTTTCCCACGTTTTCACAGCAGATTTATCAAGAACAGGCTTGCTCTGCGGTGAATGATGCGGGCCAAAGAGCAAGGCAGGAGGAGGAGAGGAGAGTAGTTGAATCGGTAAAGTGCTTGATAGGGACTCGCAGCGGAGGCAGACATCTAACCTATCCTAATGTGTGCGCGGCTGCGCGCCATGAGTGTAGAATACGTAAACACTTTTTAATAAAATGTAAATTCGTCCTCCGTGCTTTTTTAGTCAAGTCAAGTGTGTTCATAGAGGTTTCCATGGGCCAATGCGAATAAATCTAGATTTAAATTAAAAAAGACACGATATTGTCGGACCTGACGTTTTATTCTTATCCAAAACAACTAGATGCAATGATACATATCTACACTACCTGTTAAAAAAAAAAATTGAACAGTAAGATTTGTAATGTTTTTTAAAGAATTATCTTCTGCTCACTAAGCCTGCATTTATTTGATCCAAAATACATCAAAATCAGTAATATTGTGATTTTTTTTACTATTTAAAACAACTGCTTTCTATTTAAATATATATTAAAATGTCATTTATTTCTGTGATCAAAGTATCAAGATCAGGCTTGCTCTGCGGTGAGTGATGCTGGCCAAAGAGCCAGGCAGGAGGAGGAGAGGAGAGTAGTTGAATCGGTAAAGTGCTTGATAGGGACTCGCAACGGAGGCAGGCATCTAACCTATCCTAATGTGTGTGCGCGCCATGAGTGTAGAACACGTAAACACTTTTAATAAAATGTAAATTCGTCCCCCGCGCTTTTTTAGTCAAGTCAAGTGTGTTCATAGAGGTTTCCATGGGCCAATGCGAATAAATCTAGATTTAAATTAAAAAAGACACACGATATTGTCGGACCTGACGTTTTATTCTTATCCAAAACAACTAGATGTGATATGAGTGTGATACAAACATAGGCCTACATACACTACCAGTCAAAAGTTTTTGAACAGTAATATTTTTTTATGTTTTTTAAAGAAGTCTTTTCTCACCAAACCTGCATTTATTTGATCCAAAATACAGCAAAAGCAGTAATATTGTGAATTTTTTTTTACTATTTAAAACAACTGCTTTCTATTTAAATACATATTAAAATGTCATTTATTTCTGTGATCAAAGATACATTTTCAGCATCATTACTCCAGTCTTCAGTGTCACATGATCCTTCAGAAATCATTCTAATATGCTGATTTGTTGTTCAAGAAACATTTATTATTATCAAAATTTAAAACAGTTTTTTCGGGATTCTTTGATGAATAGAAAGATCAAAAGATCAGCATTTATCTGAAATAAAAAGCTTTTGTAACATTCAAAAGCTTGGAAGAAGAATTTCTTAAAGAAATTAATACTTTTATTTAGCAAGGATGCTTTAAATTGATCAAAAGCGATGATAAAGACATTCATAATGCTACAAAAGATTTCCATTTCAGATAAATGCTGTTCTATTCATCATCTGAAAAATTCTACTCAGCTGTTTTCAGCATAATAAAAATAATTAAAAAAAAAATTTTTTTTTTTGAGCAGCAAATCAGAATATTTGAATGATT